AATAACAGAAAGCCGTTCTCCTTTTCTACAATGTTAAGCTTGTTTTTTGGTGAATGTTTGATCTCCTCCCTGACTGTGCGAAACAAAGGTGTGTTCCTCATTATGAGGAGGAAAGGGCATAAGACACCTGCTTGCGTATGTTTACATCAGCACTGTGTTACCAACACAGGCATACACTGACACACTGAGATGACACACCTTCTCCTGACTTTTTGCATATATCATTTACAACACGCAGCACCAGAGTAGTTAACCTTGAGCAAGAGGAAAAGCACAATAATGACAGAAATACTGTTCCAGATGACCTACTGAACCCTCTGGATTCCCTTAATCCCTGAAAGGAGGCTTTCCTGTCTCTCACTCCCCAGCTCTCCGCTACTGCTACAATAAACCCCACATTCCAGCACGGTATTTTTTTGCATCAGCGCATAAATTTATAACTTAATGGCCTCAGGGCAGGAAGTCTTCATTTTCTGCCAAAAGAAAGCACATGTGAGCCTAGTTAGCTTGCAGAACAGCAAACCTGCCATTCTCAAACACACACCAGACAGGCTTTCTGCAACCTAAGAAAAGGCACAGAGCAACCTTGACCACCGCACTTACTAGTGGAGTCAAGTTCCAGCAAAGAAATCAGAAAGATGCCTCACTCCATCACTGATTTTCTCTTTATTGAGAATAAAAACTCATTTAGCTTTCAGCTGGGGCAAATCTCACACCTCCAAGGAAAAGAAATTCCTTCAGTCTGCATTCACTTAGACCAAGGTTTGCAAAGTGTCATCCTTCTTCATGAAGCGTCGTTTGCTTGAAAGTGTCTATCAATGTAGCTAGTAAAAAAAAAAAAAGTAATTTTGATGGAACTGCAATATTTCTGGTTCTTAGTCTTCTTCTTACCATCAAAACAGAAGACAAGTCCAGCTGATCCTACCACATCCACACTCTGGCACAAACGCTACCATGCCAAACGCCAGTCAGTCATCTACACACACACTGGTTCCCACAGACACTCACTCCCCAGATCTCACGGCATGAAAACAAGCGCAAGGGGTCCAAATACACCCCAGCATCTAAGCAACGCAAAGAAAAATAAACATGTAAAACTTTCGATCGATGGAACCATGGACATTTTTATTACGAAGAAAGGACTAATAACACTGCTCGAGTTCTGCAAACCAAATGGAAAAGCCAAGCATGGCTGTTCCTACTGCCACAAACCCCATAATTCAAGAGCATTCACAAATAATTAAAAAAAAAAAATTCCCTGTCTATTCACTGAGACTGGACAATTTTTGATTCCCCTCTCAGAACACCTATTGCCTAAAGAGGAAAAGCTGCAGCAATCTTCCAGCACACCAATAAATCCAGCCTCAAGCACCACTCCCCCTCCCATCCCCCTGCCACATGAATTCATCACTTGCTCGTGCCTCAGATTTTTCTTTGTTTAATTTTGATTTCCAACGCTTTCCCAACTAACCAGAGAGGTGCAGCTGCTTCAGCATCTCTGAAAAATATTCAGGCAAGAAGGCAGCCCTCGTACATAACACTCCCGAGCAGAGCTTGCACCTGGCAACGTCAAGGTCGTGGTTATTTTTCTCTGACCATCACCTTTCCAAACTGTTTCAACAAACCGCAGAAGAGCTTTGCAACAAGCAAGACCCCACCCACGCACCCTGAATGACAAGTCACCCCCGACTCCAACGCGTCCGGCCGGGGACACCCCACGGGGACACCCCACGGGGACACGGGTGCCACCGAGCACTCCCCACTTCTGCCGCGCTTCTGACCCCGCCACCTTTGACCTCCGCTGAGCAAACCCCGGCCTCGCACGGCTGCCCCCCGGCAGGGGAAGACCCGCAGAATGAAAATCTGGGCCTAGCGCTCGCAGGACTGCCCCTTTTTTTTTTTTTTTTTTTCCATGCATTTTCATCCAAATCCCCCAAGCGTGACTGGATCTTTTCCTCCCAGGCCTGGGATTCCCCCGACTCCCCCAGGGAGACCCAGTAAGAGCAACAAAAGTTTGACGGGGACGTAGGGAACGGGGAAGTTTGCCGGCGGGCATGACCTAAGGCCCCCCAGACAGCCCCACAACCGTAGGGAGGGCAAGGGACGCCCCAGACCAGCACCCAGTGACCGCCTTCAACAGCTCCTCCAGCCCCAACGGCAGCGCAGATGGGAAACCAGGGCGCAGGGCGGGCTCCGGGCGCGGCGCTGACCCAGACTCGGCACACACACATCCACAGATATCAGTACACAGGAAGCCCAGGGCCCCGGTCCCGGCAGGAAGCCCGCCCGGCGCGGAGGCTGAGGACTGGCAGCAACTCACCGCTCAGGTAGTTGGTCCACTTGTACAGCACCCCCTCCATGGCGGCCGGCCCCCGCCCCCATGCAGCGCGG